TTGGCTGTCTCTAGCAAGCATGTCATTGCCAGCACCACTCTGGTAGCCACTGATGATTAAATCCTCTGCAAGCTAGCAAAAATTTAATGCAACTTGCTAGGCATGTTGGACACCTGTTTCCTATACCACACCATGGCTGGAGTGCAATGTGTTCCAGCAAAAATAGTGCACATCTTTGGTGCATCCTGCTAGTTCGGTACACAGCCTGTGTAGATTCAATAATATTTTTAATTCAAATAATGTATGATTTCCTTCCTTTTGAATCAAGGAGGTAATGTCGGCATATATAAATTTTAGGGGGGGTAAAAGGTTAAAAAAGTGAGACTGCAGATTTTTAATACTAAGAGCTCAACGATATTTATGAGATTTGTTAGTGTTGTACAGTAGTTTTGTTGTTCAATTTGCGCTCCGGGAGGGGGGGTATAGGTATTTAGAGAACTGATACAGCTCGTTGGGTAGGACGGCATGGCTACAGGGCCAGGAGCAAGCCCTCCAGGTCCCCGCTGGGCCTCCTGGGAAAGCAGCCAGCTAAGATCACGGCCACTGTGGCTGACGCCGCTTCAGGCAGCAAAACCGTGGGGGTCGGCCTCGGCTCCTAGGTCATGGCGGCCCCCGAGCCGCTGCGAGAGTCCTTCTTCCCGCCGTGGGAGGGAGCCGCAGCCTGATAAATCCTCCCGCTTGTCTGACGCTCGCTTGTTCCTACCTGCCCGCCTCCCGGTGCCAGACAAGGGCGGGCGGCGGGGAGGGGGCGGAGGACACTCGCCTGCGGGAGCCTCGCCTAAGAGTCACGGGAGAAGGCGGCTCCTTGGGACCGCCTGCGGTTCCCTGCAGCTACGAGGAAGGCCGCGCCACCTGGGAAGGTGGGGCCGGAGAAAGCCTGCGTCTCTCCTTCCTCCTCCTCTCCCGCCCCGCCAACCTCGGCCTTCGGACGCGCGCGGCAGCTGCTGCGGGGGATTGCGCCCGAGGTGGAGCTGAGCATGACCGAGAGGAGTCGTCTCTCTCTCAGGTAGGCGACTTCTTCCCTCTTCCGCTGGCAGGCTGCAGGAGGAGGGGGGCGCCTCTGCGGGAGCACCTTTGGAGCGCAACCCGCAGCCCCCCCCCTTTGTAGGCTGAAGCCAAATAATGCCTGAAGGTGTTACACGACTCTGCGTTGTTTTGCTCGAGAGTATTGGGAAGGCGCGGGGAGAGAAATGTGGGAGAGAAAGCTTTTCATAGGCTGCAGGAAGGGAGCTACAGTCCGCGAAAGTTTATGCTGGAATCAATTCTTTAGGGTTCCGGGTGCCACGGGTTTCCTCGTTGCTTTTTTTTTTAAGTCACCGTTTACGGATCATTAAACTGCCCGAAGACTCTTATTGAATCGGTGTTTTAAGAAAAGTTTATGCTGGAATCACTTCCTTAGGGTTCCGGGTGCCACGGGGTTCCTCGTTGCTTTTTTTTTTTAAGTCACAGTTTACGGATCATTAAACTGCCCGAAGACTCTTATTGAATCGGTATTTTAAGATTTGACAGCGTGCTAAACCACGAGGAGAGAAATCCATCGAGAAAGAGAGCAAATGAAGTTTTTCCAGTGCAAAAATAAAATTGAATAGAAATCCACAGTTATGTTAGAACAAAACAAATAGAATAAAAAAATCCTATTCTGACCTCCGTAAAAACCATCAGCATAGTAGTCCTTATCATTGGCATGAATTGATGTGAGTTTTTTTTTGGGGGGGGAGGGGGAATGAGACCAACGAAAAGACAAACTTTTGTATGTTGATTGAAGGAATGGAATGCTGAGAATTTCCTCTTTTTTCCTCCTGATATTTTGTAAACATTTTATTCAGGATAGTATTCTTTTCCTTTGGAAAGCTCCCTGGAATTGAATCCATGCTTCCTGTTGGGAATGGGGCACAGTGAAGCTGATATGAGAGGCAATATCTTTTTTTTTTAAGGGTTTCTGGAAATCATGACGTTTAGCATAGTAACAGAGTTCTGGAACACAAACTTTGGTGAAGCATAATCTGCCTGCATTGTCAGCAACAGATCCTGGACAAGGTATCTCTTCTCAGTTACGTCAGGCTGGAATGTGTCCTCCAGACAGAGGCCCACTACTCATCCAAAGATTAATACTAAGAAGTAGAGTAGTTATTTTCAACATGACATAGTGAAGATGTTTGAACGGGTTGATCAGTGGGTATGCCAGACATCACAGAAGCCTGGACAACAACATAATATAAATATATGATTCATTATGAGGTGGCCAGACCAGACGGGAGGTGGTGGGTGGAACTCAAAGTTCAACAGCATGATGAGTGCTCCTCATCAAATAGTACGTAGAGCAAGTGATGGCAATCTCCTCAGCTAAGGGTTTCTTAGGAATATGCCCCAACATGTGATAACAAGCTGTTGTTACTGTTCTGTGCCATCAAGTTGACTCTGACTTACGGCAACCTCCAAAATGTCCTATCATTAACAGACCAGCTTAGCTCTTGCAAGCTAAAACCTCTTGCTTCCTTTATGGAGTCGATCTGTCTCAAGCTGGTAGTCACTCATTTAAGAGGGAACTATAGATAAGAGCTGTCCATAGTCTGCAGCTTGAGTGTGAACCATGGGAAATTCAGTATCCAGGGGCCACCTCTGCCATCAGATTCTTAGTGACCTGAAAGGTAGCACATTGTTGTTGGTTTTTTCCTGGTTTTATTATTTCTTTTTTTAAAACTGTTGGGTAAGGAGAGAGATGAGTGTAGGTTTTTCTGCTTCAGGAGCCAAAATAACTTGGCAAGCCTTGGGTACTGTGCACCTGGATTTTGCACTTGGGAAGAGTACGCATTTTGTTGTTGTTGTTGTTCTTTCAAGGATTAGACCTGCCAGAAGGTCATAGCAAACTTCAGTGAGTTCCTTGAATGCACCCAAAGAATGGGGTGAAAGTCTGGTTTCTGCCTTTAGACTTAGAGTGGCTTTGTACTCCATGTCACCATTGAAAAAAATATGCCTTATTTTTTTAAAGCAGATGTTGAGTTTTCTTCCGTTCTTGAGACTGTGGCATTCTCAGTAGCAGTATGATTTCATCCAAGGAATATGGTTCTGGTTCCTGGGAGCTCACTGTCACCATTGATCACCCATATGGAGAACAGAAGGAGAGCACGCTCCAAGTATCAGGAGATCTTCATATTGGAGGAGTAATGCTCAAGCTTGTGGAAAAAATTAGTGAGTACCAAGAGTATGCCATTTTTCTGTATTTTGTATTTTTAAAGGATGAAAAAACTAATTTTAAAAAGATGAAATTAATTGGTGGTAACTCATTAAGTCCTCTCAGTGATGCAGGTCCTCCCTCTGAATAATAGGGAAGGAATAACTTTTCCATTGTCCTGAAAGGGTTGGTTCCAGTGTGAGATCAGATAAATCTTTTCAGTCATATCAAAATTCATCAAAGTATCAAGATAGAAGTATTTTAAATGCTCTAGTTCCCTTCAGAGGATGAGGACAAACCATTGTTTCTCTCATAGTGATGTATTCAGACAACCATAATCTTGTTCATTCCATGTTTCCCAAGCAGAGAAAAATGACACCAGGCAACATCAGTTTGCCTTATTCAGCAAGCATATGTTCCATATGCATAAAGATAGTTGTTGAAATCATGTAACTTTTGAAAAGTCATAGGCATATTACTTCAAAAACCATTTTCTCAGTTATGAAAAAAGCTGTAAGGACAAATCCATGAAAATATGAGAAGATTGAACTTAAGTTGCAGGCAAAGACTTGTTAGAAAAATATATTTTTCAGCATACTACAAAACAGTTGTAACATCTTGAAAACGAAGTCTGGTTTTGCTGTTGAAGCAAATATATAGTGTTTTCCCATGAGCCTTGCTCTAGTAGAAAAACTATATTAATTATCTGCGTAATTCACAAACCCTGTTGAATTACAATGTACAGTATTTTGCTCACCTTGCAGAGCCGATAGCCTTTTATATATATTTTACTAGTTTAGTGAAATTAGCTGTTTGCCCTGAAGTAACCTCCAACAGGCATCCATTGCTATTCAAACCTCAGTCTTATGATCATTTCTCATATTTCTATGATTACAATTTTTATATTCCTCCCATTAATAATTTAAATACTTTGTTTATGCAAAATTCCAAACTTTGACAGATTTGTAGCAGGTTGGCAAGCTATACCTCAAGAATGCTCACCAATGATTTCTCCTCATCCTGAATGAAAGTGACAAGTAGGATGTTGTGAGGCTCTTTCCTGTACTTGCTGTAGCTCAAGATCTTTATAAATGACATGGATGAGGGTGCGGAAGAGACATGATGGAATTTTCAGATGACACCAGAGTTGGTAATACTTCAGAATAGAGAACCGGGATTCAAGATGACTTGTATAAGAAATTGGAGAACAAAATGAGTTTCAGTGGGAGAAAGTATAAAGTTTTATGTTTAGGGAGGAAAAAATAAGATACACAATTATAGAATGAATGACACCTGGCTTGACATTGGTACATCTGAAAAAGATTTGGGGGCCTTAGTAGTCCACAAGCTAAATATTTGTCAACAAAGCAAAAAGAAATGCATGCAGTGTGAGACTGCATCAACAAAAGTATGGTGTCTAGACTTGTAGTTCCCAAACTTCGGTCCAGTTACAGGCACCACTTTTTAAGAAGGTTATCAACAAGCTTAAATGTTTCCCAGCTGCAAAATGGTAAACGGCCCAGAAACTGAGCTTAGTGAGGAATGACTGAGGGAGCTGAAGGTGTTTAGCCTGGAGAAGAGAAGACGGAGAGGCAGATATGATAGCCATCTTCTAAAACTCCCAGAAGCCTTCACCACTAGCTGTGCTGGCCAGGATTTCTGGGAGTTGTAATGCAAGAACACCTGGGGACCTAAGGTTGGGAACCACTGGTCAAGATCAAAGGAGATAATAATATCACTCTATTTTGCTTTAGTTGGGTTTCTCCTTCACTGGCATTTTTTCATAGAGGTTGAATGGCTACCTCTCAGGCAGTGAAGGCTGATGACTCCAATTTCAGAGGTGCTGTAAATCCATTCTGGATTTGGGGGTTGCCCTTTACTGGAGCTGTCCAAGGTGCTGAACGCTCTTCTCCCAAACATGTTCAGCACACTGGCTGCCCCTTGTAAAGGGAAGAGTAGAACCCAGAGTGGATTCACAACATCTCTGAAATGGGAGCCATTACCAGCCGCCAGAACTATCATGGATATTCTAGTTATCGGTTCTGTTTTGTCATGAAGTTCACCAGTAGGGAGTGGTGGAAGAATGTCATTTGGGAGTTTGTAGGGGGAATATGGTCCATGGGGTCACGAAGAGTCGGACACGACTGAACGAACGAACGAAGGGGGAATAATATCCCAATATCTCCTGTACAGGGGATATATCAATTATTTCCTTTGTCCAGTCATGATGGTTTAATACCCTGAGCCCTTTGATGAGGGATACTCCTGCCAGTCTCTACTGGACTCCTAATGTGGTACATTTTGAAGAAGTGGCTGTATTCCAGCCTTTAATACTCCAGTGATTCTGTAGGCTAGTCAAATTCTGGGAATCGAAAACAAATTATTTGTTATGTTTTAGATTACAAATTATGTAGTCTAAAACACAATATTTTTGAGCTGTGATTGTTGTGAGTGCAAAACTGTACGCTATAATGCAACTATAATAACACTTTTAAAGGAAAATGAGTTTCCTCTATCTTTGAATATAAGTCTTTATCAGTATAATGTTCCATTTTCAGTTACAGACATATCTGATGCCAAAATAAAAGGTATTTTCTGGAAAAGATGGAGAATGCCTGAATTATCTAGAGATCTAGAGTGAGAAGATGAGGAGAATAATTTGGAGGTTTCAAATGATTCTGCTAAGTCATCATTGCAATTACTGGACAAATATATAATGGAGTGACCATCATGAATGTAACTGTTTCTTGCTGTCTTTAGGCTGCAGCTCTCTGGTTCCAGGGATGTGTCCAAAGGTCATAAAATAGAGCAAATCTCTCCTTTTCTGATCTTAAACCACACACTATGGAGCTTTGAAACTCTGAGCTCAGAGGAGATCTGCTGTTGAACCACCCCCAAATTTGAGTTAGTCAGAAATCTCCTTCTATTATTGATCCTTGCTTACTATAGCTTTTCTTGGGGGCTCATTGTCCATAAGGATTGGAAAGGAAGAGTGGTGATAAAATTGGTTCTTAAATCAGAAAGCAGATGAACAAAGAGGAAGATAACCAGTGGCTTCTTTTCCCCCCCAATTTGTTTGTATCTCATTAGCAGTGCACTTAGATAGTTTTAGACTCTAGGTTTAATGAATGGAAGGGACGTTTGGGTTGGTAATACATATTACTTCACCCATATCAAAGGTGGTGAGGTAACCCCACCGTGTCAGGATCCTTCCTACTCATTTTGCTGAGTAGGCTGCTGGACATCTTCCCTGAAGTCCTGAGGAAACACGGCCAGTGATCCTTTCCTGCTTTTTCTTCCTATCTGGAGGAGAGCTTCAGAAATCTCCAGAACCAGAGCCTGTTAGAAGTGACTTCTCTGGATGTGATATCTCTTTCTTTGGATCTAGGCTCCCAGTTCACAGATGTTTTCAAAGACGCCTCAATGGTAGCTGTGCTTGAACAGATGAACAATTTAGTTCTGTTTTGTCTTTTGCTGGATTTTTTTTTCCTCCAGGTGTCTCACAGGATTGGTCAGACTATGCCCTTTGGTGGGAGCAAAAGCAATGCTGGCTTCTGAAAACACACTGGACATTGGATAAATATGGGGTGCAAGCTGATGCCAAGCTGCTCTTTACAGTACAGCACAAAATGCTGCGCCTTCGCTTGCCAAGCATGAAGACTGTACGATTGAGTGTCAGCTTCTCTTCGGTGGTGTTCAAGGTTGTTGGAGACATCTGCAAGACCCTTGGTAAGAATGGAGTCCAGATACCTGGAAAGGTTCCCAAGAATTGCACTTAGCATCCCAAAGCAGTGGAGTTAATAGGAACATAAGCAAGATACAGCAATCTTCCATGTGCCCCTTCCATTCTTTTCACTTTGTGGTTGGGCCCCGATGGAACCACTGTTTCAGAGAGTAAAGGAAGCACAGCAGCTATGTCTGGTGAATTCTGCCCTGTAATTTCATGAAATGAAATTGTAGTATAGATTTTAAGACTTGCTTGATGGAGTATTGGTGAATTTTTGAGTTCTGTATAATTTCTGCATCTTCAGGGTGTGCATTTCTCATACAGGTATTCTATAATGTTTGCTTAAGTAAGTTTATCCCAATTTAGTCAGTGGATATCCTACTGCTAGGTAAAGTGGCTGTCTTCATGTATGATGCCTCTCATATTCAAGAGCTTTGATGTGTGCATGTTAAATGCAAAGGTACCAAATGCAGAGGTACCAAAATTGCAACTTCCCAAATGCAAGCTAACTGAAATAAAGTAACACAGCATCATGGTAACAGTTTAATCAAAATATGGAGGATTAGATGAACTGTAGTCTGACCTTGCTGAGCAATTACATTCCTAAGCAAGCCTATAGATTAGGGCTGCCACACACTTGTTATGCATTAACCATAGTTTCTTTGTACTAGGGGTGGGTAGCTGTGTTGATCAGCTGCAAGAAAACCAATGGAGTCCTGTGACAGCTTTGAGACCAACAAATCTCTTTTTTTAAGAATCAGCTTTCAGGGACCACACTGCACTTAATTTACACAGTTTTGGACCTTATCGAAGGAAACTCTTAATCAGTGGCCATTTGCTGTTGTTAATGATGATGTCATTCCCATTGTGCATGCAGAACTACATAGCAGGATTTCAGCCTGATCAAATGACGTTTCTTGAAAATATCCCTGAAATCTCTGAGGAGATTTGCCAGCCCTTACCCTTTTTTTCCTAGCCATTTAGCTAAGATCTGTTCCTTGCTCAGCGATTTTGGCTGGCAAGGGTCTTTTTCAGACTTCAGCAATGTCAGATTGTACAGCAGTCGTGATGATATGGTTTGTTGCCTTTTGCTGCTGCTTTAGAATAATGTTTTTCTCTTACGTTGATCACTCTGTGTTCATACTTGCAGTTGTGTCCTCTAAACTTATTGGGTGTTGTCTTTTAGGGTTTGTGGTCCTTTTGGTTTAGCTTGAGGAAGAAAAATGATGTAAATCTACAAAATGAAAGGATGGTTTTTAGGAGATTTTAGAGAAGCGATTCTATAATCACTGAAGTGATGGGGAGGATTTCACACTGGGTTGAAATGTTATTTAAATCCATAACATTTTTCCCACTGTCACAGTTTGAGTGTTTCTGCCTCAAAACAGACATTCTGCTTTTAGGCCATGCATTTCCAGATTACTCCAGTCTGGTAGTACATATCATTCACATCTCCAATGGTATGTGAGTTAATACACCTACTCCCTGCAGATGGAATGCTTCACCCCAAGCCATATGAACAGCTGTGCACTTCACCCTCTAAATTCCTAGCTCGTGACTGTAAACATGTCTGAGTGTCACAATTACTGTGATGAAAGCCCTTGATATTGCTCAATGGGCATTTGGCTGTTAAGTATACCTAGCCACAAATAAATAGCTACAGAACAGATAAATTTGCTGCAAGTTGTCATCTGTATGTATTGAACTAATCAAAAAGACAATTTGAATGATAAGATATAAAAGAACATGCAGTAATACTGGTCAGATTGCCTATTTATAGGTATTCCAGATTTGATTGTTCTGTTTATTTTTAAGATATGTGTGAATTTATTTTTCTGTTTTTAACCAAGTCTCAAATAAAAGCAGCTAAGCCTGTTTTAAAGACTTAAACCATGAAAATCACCAGAGCTAAAACAAACCAGCGTTAACAGTTTAGGGCCACACTTGGCTTCCCGAGACTTGCTGAAACACATAGATCATTGAAATGCAGCAGGGGAGGGCACTTCACCCTGAAATAGGAGGAAGACGTGTTCCACCCTTGGGCTGTCAACTGGTAGTGAATTATACCTTTCCACATTCCAAACAAAGGCTACCTCTATCAACTGCAGGCACTCACGTTGCCACAATAGCAAACAACTGTTGTGTCTCCTGTTTACTATTCCCTCAGTTGTGCTTGCAGACTGTGTAGAGGTTGAGGCCACTTACGTGCACAGTTCGTGACAGATTAATTTCTTTTTCTTCTCTTTTTTTTTTTAAAGAGCTTTCCAGAAATACAGTACAAATAGGATTGAGGTTTTGTATTAGGTTGCTGGACAAGTTATTATAATTGTTGCTAGCCTCATCCGTGTGTATGCTGGAAAATGAATGTTTTGTGACTGGCCATGCTTAACATGGCAGTTTTTTCCCAAATGAACACTTGGCGGCAGGCATTCTGTAAAAGCATGCTTGCTTGACAGCACAATCAAATTTCCAGAATTGTTCACTCTCCCACAAAAGTTGAGGGCCTTGGAGGCCTTTGCCCACCCCCATAACCCAAAAGCAAGAATATTTTCTCTTTTTTAGCTGAAGAATGGCCTCTTATCCCCTCAAGTGTCCCCTCAGGGTTTTGTTATGTTTTTTAATTTTAAACAGATTATGGAGTCCCTGGATGTCCAAAACATGTCAGAATTGTACCATCTACCCCCTGGAGGCACCTGGGGGGGTGCTTTTTGAGGAAAAACAAGCATTAAAATGGGGGTATAGGCAGGCCGGTGGGAGAGAGACATGCTCATTTGGTTCCTAGGGATGATATGCAGCCCACAGGCCACACTATGTCTGCCCCTTCTTTAAATAAACAGATAATAAATAAGGCAACATACACATAACAGTGCAGCAAATGCAGTTCCAGTTACTCCTTTGTAAGATTAACCACTCTTGTTTGATAAATGAATTCTTAAATGTAATTAACATGCTCTCTTCCAGTTTCCCTGCTTTTTTACTATGTCCATAGGAACTTCCTTTTTTTTTCCTTGCCACTTCTGAAGCAAGATGACTTAACTTGATAGATACTAGCTGCCTAATTACGGTACTACTTGTAGGTCTAGTAAAGTCTGTGGTCAACATTTAGACCGTTAAGGATGGTATGAAGGTAATACTCCTGGACTTTTGACATTCCGAGTGTTACGATAGTATCGTGTATATATATTTTTAAAAAACCAGGTGAAGAGGGAAGATACTTAACATTTTGCAGGCTTCAGCTCACCCTCACCCTTCTGAGATACTTGCCGAGGATGTGCTGTTCTTTTCAGCAGAACCCAGTTTCTTCTCAAGTAAGACAGCACATTGACCTTTTCAGCCTGTTCTCATTTTAAGACATTGCCGCTTTCCCTTTGGAAACTCTCTTACAGGTATTAGACGGTCGGAAGAACTTTCTCTGCTGAAATTACCCGAGGACGCGAAAAAGAAAAAGAGAAAAGAAAAGGACAAAGAGCCAGTCATAGAAGATATTTTAAATTTGCACAGCTCTCCAGTGAGTTTGGGATTGCCAGGTAACAGTGAAGAAAATAGGACTATCTTTGTTTAGTGCGTGTTGTCTATGTTCATCTCTGCTTTATAGCCAGGAAGGGCAGCAGTAGCCCACCCAACGCAGTTGGAAAGCAGTGCCTGTAATCTTTCACCCTTAAGCAAGAAGTCCACAGCTCAAATCTCATCTCGCCTGTGAATTTCCTATGTGCTCTAAAGCAAGCTATTCTCAACTTTTGCAATATGGAGGTAATACTAATGACCAAACTAGGGCAGGCAGTATCACACCAATGACACCTACAAAGAGCAGGTGGGATTCAGGCCATTACAACCTTTTCTACATAATTCTTGTGACTGGCACTCTTTTACTTCACCCGCCACAGTCCAAGTCTTAAAAATTATACTTCTGCATCATGTTTTAAGAGGTGTTTAGGAAAAACCAGAACATCTCCAGAGGGGTGGGATTCAGGCCATTATAACCTTTTCTGCATCTTGCCCTCCAACTGCTGCTGCCTGCCCAACAGACTCCTCCAGCTTCAGCACTGAGGTCCCAATCCATATGACCCCAATTAGTCTCTGTTAACAATTGCATGTGCAGCCAAAATCGGGCAGTGGGAAGTCCCAGCAGGACCGAGGACCAATTTTCAGATTTGCTGGCAGCCTGAGGACTGCTCTCTGAATGGGTGGGGCTAAAGATTTAGGGTGTGGTGAAGAAGGTTAATTAGTATAGTGAATTATTTGGTTTTTTTAATGCAGTATTTATGTATTATAGTTTGCTACCATGGGCTGGAAAAAAAACTAAAACAATTTTTAATTGAAATCTTTTTTTCTAGTTTAGTGTTCAATTTTTAAAACATGTTATCAGTTTGGAGGTGGAAAGATTTCAAGATTAGGGTTAGGGTTGCCAGGGTGATCCTCAAAACATTTCAGAACTGTCCTCTGGAAGGCCCAAGTAGACTTCTAAAGTTTGAGGAGGAAGATTGGGAGCCAGAGCAGTACATGTGACCCACGGACTGTGAAAGTCCACTCTTGCCCTAAATGTACAGGCATGGCCATGGACCACTTGGCATGACTGCCTTTGTAGCAACACACAGTTGGATTTCTATGTTGGCAGTAAGAGTAGCTTTTTTTGTTGTTGTTGTTTTCTGCTGACAATTGAGTTTGAGGGCCACATTTTCATTTGGAAAATGGCAGTGTGGGTTGGCAAAGAGGTTTCAGATGAAATTTAAAAAGCCAGAATAATCCTTGGGTGTCGCTCCAAGACCTCATTTGTATGACAAGATGTCTTGCAGGCAGGAAGCATCCTTGAACAAAATCTCACTAGGAGCATAATTCTTGTGTCTGGCACTGTTCTGCTTCACCCTCCACAGTCTAACTTTTAAAAAGTATACTTCTGCGTCATGTTTTAAGAGATGTTTAGGAAAAACCAGAACATCTCCAGAGTAGGGTGATCTGGAATAGGTGAGCAGGAGAAATAGTTGGGCATGTTTAACGCGGAGGAGAAATGATGAAAGGGAGATGTGAGAACAGCCTCTTAAGTATCTGGGAGGTTGTCACACAAAAGATGGGCCAGATTTGTTCTTTGCCACTTCAGAGTGAGGGCTTAGTAAGACCAATAAGTGGAAACTCTGAGGAGATAAATCTTGACTAAGCAGAAGCTTAGTAAGCTTACTTTTAGTAAGCATTGACTGTGGGAAGGGGAGGGGTTTTTCTTCAACTGGAGGCATTTAAGCAGAGTCTGGAATGGCAGGAATCCTGTACTGAAAATCCTACATTGGGCAGAGAATTGACTAGATGGTCTCCATAGGGTGCCTCTGGACTTGATAGCTGATTGCATAATATTCTGGGAGTAACCCCAGCAACTAACATTTCTCTTTTGTAAGAACATGTAATACATCCTCACAGACATAAAGGAGCAGGGCTTGCTGGTGTAAATGAATTGGGCTTCCTGTTCAGGTTTGCACCCCAGCATCGCGCTACAGAAATAACTGTAATTCCATTTTTAATAGACTTGTAAATAACATGTTTATTTAGATATACACAGAAATGTATGGATCTTGGCATAGCTAAGAGATATATAGCGCTTTTGACACGGAGCACTGTAGCAACCTGATGTGTTTACTCCATATTTCAGCAAGTCCCGGATTATACAGTAAAACCATGACTCCCATATACGATCCCGTCAGCGGCACCCCTGTCTCTTCAACCGTTGCATGGTTTGGCAGCAGCCCTCTGATGCAGCAGCACTGGAACAGCCTCGCTTTCAGCCTCCCCACTTGTACACCTGAAACACTGGCCAAAATGTACCAGCCTCGAACTTTGGTGGACAAAGCAAAACTGTACGCAGGGTAAGGGAGTGCTTCTGTGAATCATATAAGTTTGCTGGTTTGGGTAAACCAGAATTTGCATTTTTTTCAGAACATTGGTCAGGGTGCCTGCACACCAGCAATTATTCAGGATTCTACAACTACAAAGATGTACATGGCACATGACGTAGGTTGATATGTACATCCGTATGTATTCCCCTTCATTCTGGGACATGAGCAAGCAGCTTATAGTCTTGATCTTAGGGGTCAAGGAACAAACTTGAGAAGATGCAGTTACATGTAATGCATGCTTAAAAGCCTTTGAGAATACACCTGGGATTGGTTTGAAATGATGACGCTCTTTTGAAATGATGAAAGGGTTAAGCCAAGGGTTTTGCTGAAAAGGTGAATGGGAGGAACTGAAAGGAAAGGACACGGGATGCTACCAGGTAGGTGTTTAGGAAGGGATGTTTCAGCCTGCCAGGCCAGCCTGCCAGGTGCAGCACCATTTTTGTATACTTTTCTTTGCACGCCATTTCACTGGGTCCTTCAAAACACATTTGTATTTCAGATTGCACAGAAATGTTTGTCCCTCCCACTTGTATATGGCATTTTTAGCACATAAATGTGCTAAACAATAGTCTGAAGTTGCTGAAAGCCACTGTATAAACTGCTGTCATAGATTGGTTTGTATAGTCTCTGGACACATTGTCATGAGTAGAGAGGTGGTTCCAGAGGGGACTGATGTTCCAACAGAAAAAGTCCTAGCCCTACCTTTCTTTCTTTGACTCTCGTTTCCCAAAGCTTGAATGTACTGTTTCATACACCATCTTCAGACACCAAATGGCTTTGGTGTCTCCTATGTGCTGTCCTGGTATTTGTGCTGTGACTGAGTTTCCATAAATTCAATCATGGTAAATCAGGCTCAGCAATTCTGTACATATTTAGTCTCTAATCTGTTTAAGATCACAGCCAAAGTACTCTAAACACCATTAAGATTCAATGTGTTTTTCTGCCAGCAGAACAGGCCATGTTTATTATCAATCATTGCTAGATTCCTTCTTATCCATTTTTAAAGAGTCTGAAAGAACTTGAAGTTTCAGTTTGCCGTTAATTTATTGTGTGTCTACCTTTATTACGTGTATTGAAGCCTTTACTGTTTCTGCTATATTAAATATTTTGTACTATTTAAATATTTTATGCTGCAGTCACTATAGTTCTATTATTTTAATATTTTATCTTACTAACGGTCCCCAGTAGGCTTTATCTTAAAAGGCAGTATAAAAATACATGAAATTCAAAAAGACAAAACTGGATATTTCAAAGCAGACAAGCTTCCAGAAATGGTTGATGGTCCAGCCACGGGGCACTCCACCCATAAATCTTAAGGAAAGGTTCCCTCAAAATCATAAGCTTCTTGAACAAGCCTGGCTGGATATTTGCATGTACAGTCGTGCCCCGCTTTATGATTGCCCTGCATTATGACGAAACCGCATTACGACGACATTTTTGCAGTCGCTTTTGCAATCGCAAAACGATGGTCTGAATAGGCTTTTTTTGCTTTGCGATGATCGGTTCCCTGCTTCGGGAACCGATTCTTCGCAAAACGACGATTTTCCTACAGCTGATCTGCGGTTTCAAAATGGCCGCCAGGTAAATAAAATGGCTCCCTGCTGTTTTCTGGAATGGATTCCTCGTAAGACAGCCACCGAAAATGGCCGCCCTATGGAGGATCTTCGCTGGACAGTGAGTTTTTAGCCCATTGGAACGCATTAAACAGGTTTTAATGCATTTCAATGGGTTTTTTATTTTCGCATTACAACGTTTTCATTCTACAGCAATTTCGCTGGGATGAATTAACGTCGTAATGCGAGGCACTAAAATAGGCTATGTTTATAAACGTAATGCTTGCAAAACAATGAAAAAGTCATCTTCTACATTTCATTGAAAGCAATGGTTTACCAATTTTTTTCCTGACTGCTTCTAGGGTGCTTGTATATTTTTTTCCAAGAGAATTAAAAATGTACGTGAGCATTGAAAAACAGCAACAGTTGGGCTTGTTTACTGTTGCTTTCTTATTAACAAGTGTAGCTTATTTGAAAGTATGTGTTTTTCTTTCAGGTGGCTAGATTCTTCACGATCCCTCATGGAACAAGGAGTCCAGGAGGATGATCAGCTTTTGCTACGTTTTAAATACTATGCTTTCTTTGATTTGAATGCAAAAGTAAGAAATTCTAAGACTCTGTATTCATTACCTGTCATGTTTAGTTACACATCAGTTGAAAAACAAATATAAGAAATTTACCAGTTCTTTATCTGCATCTTGCAAACCAAAACATACAGTATTTATTAGTCAAGTGGTACCATACCTGCCCTGTGTTTTTGTGATCTAATGTGATTTAATGGAACAAAATAATTCATTTAAAAAGGAATAATCCCACTACATCTCCGTTTTATTATTAAAACTTAAATTTTCATGTAAAGAAGAGAACAAGTATCTCATATCTGCAGTGCAATTCTATGCATGTTTTCTCTTACAGCAAGTCCCACTATATTCAGTGCAGCTTGTTGCCAGGTGGGTTTGTATGCCAGCTTCACATCTACTGTATTCCAGATGTGAGCTACAGCTCCCATCATCCCCAGCCAACATGACCATTGGCTGTGCCTACTGGAAATATGGGAGTTGTAGCCCAGTATCTGCAAGCCACCAGGATGTGGAAGATGTTTTAAAAATATTGCAAACTATGGCAAGTAACCATTTGATTTCTAATTCCTGGTCACATGTTGCCTTCTAAAATAAAATTTATAAAGCATTTCATTCCCTTTGAAATGCCTCATTGGTCTCCCTCCTGTTTCTCTCTTGATATTTTTGGTTTAGTTTTGCCGAACAATCTAGCCATGTTCCTCTGCAGAAAAAACTTAACTGTTCTCCTAATACTTTGTTTTCAATAATTTAGCAATAATTAATAAGCTCATTCTGTGGGCCATTTAATCAACCATATAAAAGAGGGGCAAGTGTGCATGGCTGTTGTTCTATCATCCTCTCTACTTTATGGAGTGGAGACACTGACTTATCTATCAACACTATGCAAGAAAGCTCAGTCGTTTTCATCTTGGCTGTCTTGATGTCAAACGCCAGGATAAAGTCTCCAACACTGGAGTCTTGAAGCAAATGCAGATGACAGCCTTTTTAATTATTTTTTATTGTTTTACAATCTTGAAAATGACAACTTCAGTGGGGTGGCCATGTCGTCTCCAAAAATGTACCTTCTATGGAGAGCTTGTTGTAGGCACTCGACTGCATGGTGAACAAAAGAAAAGAATCAAGGATACACTGAAAACAACACTGAAAGATGTTAAGATTGGCCATGTCAGTTGGGAAGCACTTGCTCAAAACAGAAGTACCTGGTGAAAGGCGGTCAAACAAGGGGCTAAAGCATTGGAAACAGAAAGAGTCGAGGGTAAACCAAGGAAGAGAGAAGTAAGAAAGCAAGGATGTACCTCCTTAACAGTCCAACAAGGCCAGGATCAACTAACCTGCCCCCATGGTTTCCATATCTTCCAGTCTCATGCTGGACTACCTATTGTTCAACCTTAACCACAGACCTCTTCTTTTTCCCCTTAATGGTGAATCTGATGGAGATGGTCATCTTTGAAAACAAAGGACAAACTATATTACAAGTAAGCTGGCAGATGTGTATTGGTTCTTGAATGAAGATCTTTTTGGAAGCCTGTCTTTACCTGGCACAGATGGAAACTCTCCAGACTAATCACCTCCACCATGTGCTTCTATATTTTATGTAAACACTCTCCAATCCTTCAGGTGTCTAATTTGTAGCAGTGCTTAGATGTAAGCCCTGGTTTAACATTGCAAGAATGCATATAATCTTCTCCTGACCTCTCCTGCTGTGGCACACAGAGGAGATTGGAAGAGTCTGCTTCTGTTTTCGATTAGCCACAGTTTATAATGTCACCTGAACCTTAAACTATTCTTTACTCTGGCAAATGAAAACAAGCCATTTCCCTGGACTGGTTTGAAGTTGACTTGTTTCTTGTTTTAAGTGGAACTTGGAAAAATTAGATCTCTTCTGCTGCTAACAAGCTAGGAAAATGCTGTCTCAAGGCCAGTGTCATAGGGATGGTATTTACCATGCCAAAACACTGAATTCCTGGAACTCATGCCCAAACATGTAGCTTGCTTTCCAAACAATCCTTGTTAGGTGCCCTGCATTACATTCTGTTTAAGGAGAATCTGAACAAGTTTTCATAGTTTCTCCTGACGATGTTTACAGGTTCACTGAAGAGGAAGAAAACATTCTCTTCTGCATTTACTCAGGAGTTCTCGAGGCTGGGCCTCGTCGTGCATAGTTGACATGCTGATAGTTGTGTTATTTCATCTTCATAGTTCCCAGTCAGTGCATTGTAATTTAGAATGGGGTGACCATTCACTGATTGTGGATGACACTTTGAAGCATTTGTTAACAGTTGGAGAGGTGGCTCCAGCTCCAGAAATATAGTGCAGCGATTTAGCGATGTAACCCTTGGTGTTGCATGAAAGGGACATTCAGCTTGTGGTATGACCAGAATTCTATGCATGATTAGATATACCGTATGGAACATCTACAAACTATAGTCAGAGGTCATATGGTCATTTTTTGCTTTTGGTAACTGATGTAGGAGGCCAGACTGTGGCTCAGCAGCCATGTGTGGCTTAAAAGCAAGTAGATACATAGATGATATAGTACTCAGGACTGATTCTGCCATTAGGCGGACTGAGATAGATGCCTTGGGCAAGTCATGAAAGATCAAATTGTTGTACATCTATTATGATTAATTTTTCCAACTTTAAAACCAGGGAAATGGAGAAGGGTACTTGTTGGGACATTGTTCCTTGGGTGCCAAAACAACTTGGTTGGCCTTGGGTACCCTGTACCATATCAATGGTGAGAGAATTCCCATTTATTCTTCCCCCTCTGGAAACAAAATGTCTTTGGACGGTCTTGATGGCCCCTGACTCGCCTCATGAAGCCAGTAAGGAGTTGGATACAGTGAGGCCTCAGGGCCATCCTCCGACAAAAGTGCTGTGGCTCAAGTGGGCTTGGGCAGACTTTCATGACACCATGTGCACAGGAATTCTGTACACATGGTGACACGCAACCCTGTCCTGCTTTGCCGTCTGCTTTCTAGCTCGAGCCTACGCATCTGTACTTCAAAGGAAATCCCAGTTTGTTCAGTGAGGCTTAATTCCTAATGAATATACATAGGCGTTCAAAAGGATGCACCTCCTTCAGGGCTCCTTGTGAGTGGAGGTGGTTGCACCATTTAATTGTTCAGTTTATGGCAGCCTTGTTCAAAATGTTGCCCCTCAGTACGACATCTTGTAATTTCTTGGCAGTATGACGCAGTGCGAATCAACCAGCTGTACGAACAAGCTCGATGGGCTATTCTGCTGGAAGAAATAGACTGCACAGAGGAAGAAACCTTCATCTTTGCTGCATTGCAGGTGAGGGCTTGATCTAGACAAACCAGTTTTCCTGTTCAGGTTAGGACCCTGCCAGGACATGAACACAGTGAACTGAGCGAGGATTGATTGTTCCACATAAAGCCTTTCCCGCTGCCACCACTTTTGAGTAGTAATCCCAACTCTTATTTAATCCAGTGTAAATAGTTAACAGATGCCCCCCCCCCGCCTTCTCTAGCAGCAACTAATGGTTAAAGTATTGTCATGCACTCCTGACCTCTAAATGATAATTCCACATAGTAACATCATATTATAGAGGGAAAAGCACCAGAGAAACCAGTGTTTAACATCTGCTTTATGTATAAATATGCATGCAGAGTAAGGGTAAGCACATGGGCACTTTCGTAGCATGCGGTAAAGGGGGACCCCCCCCAACCTGATGCTGTTACTTGTAGGGGTCATGCGATAGATTTCTCAACTTACAGCCATTCAGTTCTGAAAGTTACACGTTTTGTATTAACTGTGCAACCTTTCAGCTATTGTGTGACTACAGGCTGTTGAAAGGAAAAGAAGGGAAGGGAAGGAAAAGAACAGAGAAAGGGGGAAAGGGAAAGGCTGAAAAAGTCAGAGAAGCTTAGTTGTATTTAAGACCAGCTGCTTTGTGAGAAAGGAATCAGGAATCCTTGGAAAAGAGTCTGAGGTAGGCAGGCTGACAGACAGATGCAACTTCTCACACCTGCTAAACTGTTCCTTCCTCCCTCACTTGAAGTGAGCGGGTCAGCCCAGTTGCTTTATAGAAGAGAACTGGTGGGTCGGGGGAGGCTGGCAGGCTCATGTTCAGTTTTCTCAATGTCGTGAGCCAATGTGTTTGGAGACCTAGATATAAAGCAAGATACAAATCCCACATGTAAATAAATAAATTTCACTTCAAATGGTTTTGCTACTGATTTATTTTTTTTAAAGTCCCTCATGTATATGAAGTAAATGGCCTCATCTAGACCACCCCTGTGTCTTTATCTTATATACATATTGTTATTGTAGTATCACATCAGCAAGCTGACGTTATCCTCGGGGTCACAGGATTTCACAACAGAAGTGGAAACGGATGAAGTGGAAGCTGCTCTTTTTAATCTTGAAGTAACTTTGGAAGGGGTAAAAGCAGAGAATCCTTTGGTATGTAAGGCGTGTGACTTTAAGGGTCATTGAGTCAAGACAATGTCAAGGGCTGAGGAGAAAGGGTTGTTGCTTGTTGTTGCTAAAAATATCTCAGACTTTGGCCACCGGGATAACCAGCTGCATTCTAGGTTTCCTGTGGTGACAGCTCCCTTACTGAAATCCATATTCTGGGCCATGGATGAGCAATTAATTTCTATAGGGGGCCAATGGCTACCGGGATAACCAGCTGCATTCTAGGTCTCCTGTGGTGACAGCTCCCTTATTGAAATCCATATTCTGAGCCAGGGGTGAGCAATTAATTTCTATAGGGGGGCCACATGAAAAACCTGAACTGTGTTTGGGGGCCGAACCAACTTTACTTAAAAATAAAATGAAACAGTGATGTTATGATTGTTTTTATTTTAAACTTGTTAATCTTCACAAATACAGTACTAAAGAGGTTTTTTGTGGTATGTTAAAGATAAGCAACTGATCAACTTTAGACAAAAAGCTATAAATGGTTTTGATGTTCAAAACTGTCCACAGGCCAGACAGGAGTGGCTCGCGGGCCGTATGTCAGGAAAAACATTTGGGATATTTTGCTTCTTCCAAGCTTGAGAGGCGGCTGTTGGTTTGGCATGTGAATTTTGTTTGTTTGTCCACAGCCTATCATTAACCTGGGATTAAAGAAATACTATGGGGCAGGAACAAAAACAAATTGAGAAATCATAACATAGCCAATGGTCCATCATCAGGAAAAACCTTTCTCTTGGTTCTCTTGGTCTTGCCATCTTCACAGGTGTGTTTGGTGGGTACACAGGAGAGAGCCTTCTCTGTTGCTGTTCCCAAACTTTGCAACTCCCTCCCACATAAGGCTGACCTGGCCCCATCTTTGCTGTCCTTCTGCAAGCAGCCAAATATATGTTTTTAGTACGGTATTCGTTAGATTCTTTTTAATATTTGTATACCCAGTGTGATGCTTTGTTGTTTAGTCATTAAGTTGTGTCAACTCTTCGTCATAGACCAGAGCACACCAGGCCCTCTTGTCTTCCACTGCCTCCCGGAGTTGGGTCAAATTCATGTTGGTAGCTTCGATGACACTGTCCAACCATCTCATCCTCTGTCGTGTCGTCTCTTGCCTTCACACTTTCCCAACATCAGGGTCTTTTCCAGGGAGTCTTCTCTTCTCATGAGATGGCCAAAGTATTGGAGCCTCAGCTTCAGGATCTATCCTTCCAGTGAGCACTTTGGGTTGATTTCCTTCAGAATTGATAGGTTTGTTCTCCTTGCAGTCCAGGGGACTCTCAAGAGTCTCCTCCAACACCACCATTAAAAAACATAAATTCTTCGGCTGTCAGCCTTCTTTATAGTCCAGCTCTCACTTCCATACATCACTACTGGAAAAACCATAGCTTTGACTATGCGGACCTTTGTCGGCAGGGTGATGTCTCTGCTTTTTAACATGCTGTTGAGGTTTGTCATTGCTTTCCTACTAAGAAGCAGGGGTCTTTTAATTTCGTGTCACCATCTGCAGTGATCTTGGAGTCCAGGAAGGTAAAATCTGTCACTGCATCCATATCTTCCCCTTCTATTTGCCAGGAGGTGATGGGACCAGAGGCCATGATCTTGGTTTTTTTGATGTTGATCTTAAGACCATTTGTTGTGCTCTCCTCTTTCACCCTCATTAAGAGGTTCTTTAATTCCTCCTCACTTTCTGCCATCAGAGTGGTATCATCTGCATGTTGTTGATATTTGAGGATGTTGATATTTTTTCCAACAGTCTTAATTCCGGCTTGGGATTCATCCAGGCCAGCCTTTTGCATGATGTAGTCTGCATATAAGTTAAATAAGCAGGGAGACAATATACAGCCTTCACGTACTCCTTTCCCAATTTTGAACCAATCAGTTGTTCCATATCCAGTTCTAACTATTGCTTCCTGTCCCACATATACATTTCTCAGGAGATAGATAAGCTGGTCAGGCACTCCCATTTCTTTAAGAATTGGTCATAGTTTGCTGTGGTCCACACAGTTAAAGGCTTTTGTGTAGTCAATGAAGCAGAAGTAAATGTTTTTGTGGAACTCTGGCTTT